AAAACTCAAGAATAATGTGACAGAAACAGTTTGATAAAAAAATAAGGATGAAAATTAAAAAGAATCTTATATAATAATCATACATCTACTGTTAGAGAAATTGAAAATTCTGTAAACATGGATAAATGCACCCACAATGAGACATAGTGTCAAAAGAATGTTTTTTTACCATGACACCACTTTTTTTAACAACTTTCACTATTCGGCAATGTTTATTGTTTTAAAAAAGCAATGATTAGAATTGGAATAAAACCTAAATATATGATGAAAATAAATTTATACATTTTCTTTTGTTCTTGAGAACTTACAACAAAAATATTAAACACTATTTATTAGACTGTTTATTTTTTTTTATTTTTTTTTTAAGCGTTTCACCCCAAGCAAGCCACTAGGATGCAAGGGGTTACAGAAAATTTGGAGCAAGATCAGATAGGAGTGATAGAGGAAAGGATGAGGAGAAGGATAGTGGATAGATCAAGGCAACTGGAGATGTCAATTGACATTACATTTGAATAGTTGGAGATTATAGCTCTCAGGGAAACTGGAATAGGGAAGGGAGTTCCACAGGCAAGAGGTGCGAGACATGAAGCTATTGGAGTAGAAGAGACAGCTATATTTAGGAGTTTTGACAGTGAAAGGGTGAGAGCGGGATGCCAGCCTCATAGGGCGCTTGAACTCATGAAGACTGGGAACCAGCAAATGCAGCTTCTCGGAGCAATTGCCATGAAATTACAAGAATAATTTTATATTTACAACATTCTAAAAACAGAACTAATGCAATGCAATATTTATCATTTATCAATTTATAAAGAAATAAATATGAAAACAAGTTTTTATTCATAAATTTATAAACATTTACTAAATTATTAAAATATGTGAACCAACTATAAGGAAATCCTTATTTACCATTTTATAAAGTTCAAATAATAATTAGTTATAATTAATTATTATTGGAATTAGTAATTAGCTGGTGTTTTGCCAACCATTCCAATAAATAATATAAATATTGTAATAAATAGTTGTATCTTGTCAAAACCAAAGAAAATGTATAAATTCACTTTCATATGTTTAGGTTTTATTCCAATTGTAATTATCACTTTTTGAAACAATAAATATTACTGAAGTGTGAAGGTATTTAAAAAAGCAGTGTGTGGGAGGGGAACCATTCTTTTGACACTGCATTTTATTGCCAGCACATTTATCCGTGTTTGCCGAAAATTCTTAGCTTCTTCTATGTTAGTGAAAGCGAAGTGTAATCTCAAGTTAACTTTGGAATTACCAAAAGGTAAAAATCCATGTTGAGAAGGGTAAACTCTTCTACACAAAGGAAGTGCTGAAAAGTTCTGATGGGTTGAATCCATTTTTTAACATCAGACCAAATGACCAAACATTTATTTATTTATCCCTTTTTTTTTTTTTTTTTCTTTCACCACCCCTGTGCAAGTGTGCATGTAAATGTTGGTATCTTTAACTTTGATTACTGAAAACCTGTCAACTCAGTTCAAAGGTCAAGTGGGTGTTGAGTCAACTTTCCTTACTCAGAATTGAATGTCAGTTTTTTGTCAATTCAGTCAGATGACCAAAAAATGACCAATCCTTTCATGATTCACAATATACAAAAGTGTCTTTCTAGCATGCATCATCTGGCAAACTTGCACCTTCCTGCTTCGCAAAAAAATGGAGTTTCAAAAGAAGTTTTTCCCTTGACACCTCTATTATTTTAACTAACTTCACTCCCCGGCAATATGTATTGTTTTAAAAAGCAACGATTAGTATTGTAATATGAAAAATATGAAAATTTTTTATTAAAAAATTTATAAACATTTACTAAATTACTAAAATATATGAACCAACTATAAGGAAATCTTTATTATTTACCGTTTTATAATTAGAATCAATTGACAACAGATGTTTTGCCAACCATTCCAATAAATAATATAATAAATATTGTTTAATGTATTTGTTGTAAATTCACAAAACAAAGAAAAATTATAAATTCACTTTCATATGTTTAGATTTTATTAAATTCTAATCATCTCTTTTTAAAACAATAAACATTACTGAGGAGCAAAGGTAATAAAAATAATAGCAGTGTCAAGGGAAAAAAAAACATCCTTTTGGTGCTATCTTTTTGCAGACAGGAAGGTCCAAGATTGCCAAATATTCTGTTTTTAGAAATTCAAACAAAAACCAAAAATATGGATATAAAAATCTTCCTATATCTTTAGCCTTTTTATGAAGGCGATATAATGCAGATGTCAGGAATTTCCCTCATTGCAATTCTATGACCCAACTGGAATTAAAAGAACCACCTACCACTCTTAATGGATTAATGGACTCTCACATTGAATTTGACATGAAAGGCCACAACAGTTCAGTTTCAGAACTGAACTGCTAAACTATCCACAAAGATGATTTAATTCTAATCATAAAAACTTGTGTAGAACCAGCCGCAGTTTTTGGAAGAACAGAGAAATGCTGCATATTTTGCCACTAAGTTTCCAAAGAACCATCTTCATGTTTGGATCCAGAGTTTTTCTTCTAGACTGGATGGCACCTAAGGCTAGAAAGCCCAGTTTACTATGCCATTTAATTTATAGCTAAGGAGAAAAGAAATAGATTCATACTTTTCCCCATGGCATTACTATCAAAGTGAATGTGGCAGACGAGACCAGAATTTGAACTTGGCCTGTTGATTCCAAGTTTTAAGTGCTGATAGCAGATAAGCTACCAGCACATCTTGTCCCATAAAATTTCTTGCATTTAATGAATGAAACTTGTTTTTTAGTACCTGTTACATTTCCAAATAAGAGCAAAAGATTGACTATTTAATTTTCACTGTATTTAGTGCTTGGAACACTTGAAAAACATTTAAATAATTTAATTTACATTTAACCATTTTTTTCTTTTTTTTTTTCTTTTTTTTTTTTGCCATTCAAAATCACAACATGTTGACATCTAATGCTTTTTGTAGCTGATCTTCATGTTAACATTTTTCTTTATAAGCCTGACGGAGATGCAACACTTACTAGTTTTATGATAAACCATAATAAAATTCCCAACAGCGCTATTTAGATATACTGGTCCACTCATAAAAGATGGAAAAAAATTTCCCCAAACCATAACTTTTGTCAGAATCCAAGAATATTTTTATTGATTTAGAAGGAGGGGTCTTGTTCCTAATATAAATAGTCACAAATCAATCTTTTTTTACAGAATTATTGGGACTTTGTTATTTACGTGTGTCAAGTCTGAAACTGCTTATGTTTTTGATATCTGCATAGTTTACTTTTTTTCTTAATTTAATTTTTTTTTTTTTTTTTACATTTTAAAAATGTGCCAAATGCATTGGTTGGTTGATTGATCCAAAAAGTGTCTTGTCTGAAAGAGTTATGGGTTCAATCTCTGGCCCCAGTGGAGAGAACAAAAACTTGGAGAGTTATCAAGGGGAATTAACTAAAAACTGAGATATCCAATGGCATGTTACATGGAATTAGAACAATCTACCCCTGTGGACTAAATAAAAGGTTCACTTTGAAATTCCAACAAATAACACCTGAAGAAGGCCAGCGCGTGCAATGGCCGAAATGTCATGAATGTGGCAGTAAAGATGACGCCAACAGTTCGAACAATGTAAATAGTTTAAATAATTATTTTAGTAGTTACACATGTTTAAATAGATATCCTGTTTATTTAAAAAGATTAGAACTAATGTCTACCTGCCCAGATTGAAAGTCTTACTTTTGAAGATGTGCCTTACATAAGAATACACTAAAATCCAACAACCATTCCTTCTGCTTACAGAGGAAAAATTACTTAGATTTCATATACAGGATCTCAAGCGCTTCTCAGATGGTAAGCACAATCTCGAAAGACTCCAATGGCAGAAGAGGCAAAGATCTACACAATCTCAAAGGCCAAACTGGCAGAAGGGAGCAGCACCAGTCAGGCTGGTATAACCAAGGGGGATATTGACAGACTAAGCATCTGACAGCCTAAAGCAACCAGATTTGTCAGATCTTGCCTGTCTCAATTTCCTTTGAGCCTCAAGGGAGGCACTTTTAGCCAAGTGTCGGGGTTCCTCTGTCATATAGAGGTGTCCACTAAAAGCAAATTCACACAAATGACATTGTTAAACTCTCTTCATCACCACCACTGGAAGCAGGGTGAAGAAAGAGAATAGGGAGAGAGGATGACAATCCTGATGTGAGCAGATGCCAACAACAACTAATTGCTAAATTTAGCTTAGTTTGGCATAAGGCCATGATTATGAGATTTCTGGTGAAGATTGAACTCTCTAACAATGTGTACTTATGTTTATAATACTTATGGTCATATCACATTGAAACTAATGGTTCCTATACGTTGTGCCCGATCAGTATCTAGATGGGTGACCACTTGGGAATACCAAGCGCTGTAAGCTTAGATGTGCAGGTGGGGTAATGGATAATAGCCTGGAATTGTTAATTGGAGAACCAAGTTCCAATTCATGTTAGGTTTTGTTATATTCACTTATGTGCAAATACCCTTGGGAAAGATATAAATCTGCTTCTTGTTCCCCCAGCTATGGGTTAATTAATAAGACTTGTATCACTAAACCATTATTATTTAAAAAAAAATTCTTACAATCTAAAAATATTTTCTGGCTTTAAATAAGCTACAAAGGATTGAGAAGCTCAAGAAGATGAATCAATTAATAAAAAATGAGTCGTAAATATTATTATTGGTAGTCATTGGAAGATTATTAAGCCCTTTGAATGTGCTGCGTTATCTTCTCCTCCCATATTGCAGAGAACTGCACCCTGATATTAATTTTCTCAATTTAGGCTTTTTCCATGATTTCCTTCCTTTCTTTCAGGATGGTCATGTCTTTGAAAGAAAAAAAATTCCAAAGATTAAAAAAAATAAGTTTTTCACGTTTTTTTTATCCCTTGCAAGAGAATCTTCAGAAGGCAGCTTCTCTTTTTTTTTTTTTTATTTCTTTAACTAAACCTCATTTCTTACAGCACCTGGAATTCCCAAGTGGTCGCCCATCTAGGTACTGACCAGCCACAACATTGCTTAACTTTGGTGATCGTGCCAGAACTAGTGTTTCAACATGAAGTGGCCGTAAGCACAAAGGACAAAGCAGGATAGGAAAACAGTTAACTAGAGGAACAAAAAGAGGAGAGCTGTGACTGCTCATGTGTTGAAAGGAGATAGCACATAAAAGAAATAAAGTATTATTATTTAACGAAGGAGCAATGCGTTGGGGAGAGGCGACGTAATATCATTATTTTAAGATTATTCTTGTAAAAAAAAAAACAGGTTTACAGCCACATCATGTTGAAACACCAGTTCAAAAAAAATTTCTTACAATCTAAAAATATATTCTGGCTTTAAATAATCTGCAAAGGATTGAGAAGCTCTAAAAGATGAATCAATAAAAAAACAAGTCGTAAATATTATTATTGGTAGTCATTGGAAGATTATTAAGCCCTTTGAATGTGCAGGTAGGGTAATGACTATCAGTGAGCACAGTTCAAATCCAGCTGATTCAGTTTTGTTCATGTTGCACTGTATGTATAGCTGGCCACTTGTATTCGAGGATACCCGTCTACTAGGGCAGCTAGCCTATCCCAATTGCAGACGCTTGCTCAGGCGCATTTGTATTTATTCAACACCCACAGAGCCCACCTATGGTTTATACTGCAACTATGCTGAGCAGGCCTTAGTTACAGTTTCTGGGAAAGCACATGTTATCTAGCATGATCAACAATCTGAACAAGGCCAGCACACTCAGGCCCTTGGCCACGATGACTTGCGACTTTATGCTAGCATGGCTGTTGACGGCCCCCAATGGTTCTGTCTACCCAATTTCACTCACAAGGTTTGGGTCAACCTGTAGTATGGGTTTCAGACACTTTCCAAAGGTGCCGCACACTGGGATCGAACCCTCCAGTCCGATAACATCAGGAAGTCTTCTTGCTGACAAATCGACCATGGTGAGATTCAAACCCAGGTCTCATGGTCAGAATGCAAGCATTCTAACCACTCAGCCACATTGCACTAATACTCTTAGAAAAGATATAAACCCATCTTGGCCATCTGAATTCAAAATTGGGGAAAAGGCAATGGCAAACCACTGTACTTTTTTCCAAGATGTTCTTGCAATTCATAGATAATAAAGGAAAGGAATCTGTTGAAAGTCATGATTGCCTTAGTCTTGAAAGGAGATGGCATTTAATAAATAAGAAAAATTATGGGTTAAAAGTAATGATTATAAAAAAAAAGGAGGTTGATCATAATCAATCATTGTGAATTCCACGATCCTCTCTTTAGCTGCATAGTATATGCTTCACCAGGGCTACATATGGTTTTTTATTCAGAGTTGTCTTTCTCCTAGACTGGCAGCAATCAAGGCTGAAAAGGCTATTCTGTTCTACTCTTAAACCCAGAACTAGGGAAAGTGTAGATTCATACTTTTCCCAATGCTATTTGCACATAAGTGAATATGATGAACTCGACTGGAATTCAAACTTGATTCTCCAATTTCTCATTCTGAGCCACTATCCATTACAGCACCGACACATTCAATCAATAAAAGCTCTGACCAAATTTTGCAGATTCAAATAGCAAAGGCCAGCAAGCTGACCAGGTAATTGGTCCTGATTGGATTCACTTGGGAGAAGGAAGTCTGATATTTTTAGAGGCCCAAAACTCTCAATGGCATCACAAATAAAAATCAATGATAAAGCTTTACTGGTAGCCTTCAAGAGTGTTTGAGAAGTACTTGGACAAAAAAAAAAAAATAATAAGAATTCTTTTGATTTGACTTCCATTCCAAACTCCAAACACCTTACCAATACTTCTGCACAGACTTTTTGACCATTACATTTATCCGGAGAAATCTCAGATTAACATTTATTGCTGTCATGAAGTAGAAAGATTATATCCAATCAATTGTTAGGTCTGCTGCTAGGAAAGTTGCAATCCATTTTAAATATTTACAAGTCTGCCATTCATCCATGTTTAGAATATTGCTGCCACATATGGTCTGGTGCTCCTGCTATATATTTAGAGATTCTTGATAAAATCCAAAGAAGAATCTGCAATGTCATTGGTCATGACCTGGCAATCCAACTTCAGTCACTTTCCCCACCAGCATAATGTAGCTTCCCTGTGCCTTTTCTATAAATATTTTCATGGTAATTGTTCTGATGAGCTTTTCTCTTTGGTACTTCAACTTTAGAAATTTAAGTAAAGTACTATCAGGTCATCCCATAAGTTCTGTCCAAATTTTAACTTTTTGTTAAAATGAACAAAATTTAAAGAGTATTTTATAATGTCTAATGGAGCTGAACATTATTTTTATGTTTAGATGCATTTAAACTGATCAAATTTTATTTCAGAGAACAATAAAATTAAATTTTGTTTGATTAACATGCTAACATGGAAGTACCCAAAAATCATTTGAGGCACATAATGCTTTATGAGTTCAAGAAAGGAAACTCAGTAGCCGAAGTGGCTAGAAACATTCACTCAGTTTATGGAGAGGAATGTGTGAATGAAAGAACTTGCAGAAGATGGTTTGCAAAATTCAGAGGTGGAGATTTCACCCTTGAAGATGAAGATCGAACCGGACGTCCAGTTGAGTTTGATGATAAGCTTCTTGAAGCAGCCCTTGAAGAAAATCCTGCTTTATCAGTTGAGGAATTGGCAGTGGTTCTCAGTTCAAACCATACAACTATCATCATCATCTTCAACAACTTGGAAAAGTTCCTAAACTTGGAAAATGGATGCCTCATGAATTGTCTGAAAACAACCTCAAATCCTGAGTTGACATCTGCTCTTCTCTCCATTCACGCCAACTTGTTTCACCTTTTTTGGATAGACTTGTGACTGGCGATGAAAAATGGATCTTTTATCGAAATGTTAAGCATCATAGACAGTGGCTTGGTAAAGGGGAAGGACCCCAGCCACAGCTGAGAAGGGAACTTCATGGGCAAAAGGTTTTTCTTTCAATCTGGTGGGATCGCCAAGGAATAATCTACTTTGAATTCTTACCACCTAATGCAACAATTAATGCTCAAATATACTGTCAGCAATTAGAGCATTTGAACCAAGCTTTGAGGAAAAAAAGACCTGCTCTAGTGAATCGAAAAGGGGTGATGCTTCATCAGGACAATGCGCGACCCCACACAGCAAGAATCACGTCACAAAAGATCGAAGAACTTAGTTGGAATAAAATTCCTCATCCACCTTATTCTCCCGATCTTGCTCCTTCAGACTACCATTTGTTTTGTAGCTTACAGAATCATTTGGAAGAAACAGCTTTTGAAACACAGGAAGAGGTTAAAACTGACATTTGTGAGTTCTTCGAATCAAAGCCAAAAGAATTTTACAGTAATAGAATTAGTAAGCTTGTTAATAGATGGAAGGAAGTCATAGATAATCAGGGAAAATACATTGTTGATTGAATCTGTAATCAAATGTAACATTTGGTCACTTGTTTTCTTTATTCAAAATTCGAACAGAACTTATGGGATGACCTGATACATTGGCAGCTAGGTCTCCTCATTTTACAGTTAAAATGGCTAACAGTTGAAATCTATGCTAAGTTTCTTTTCTTTCACTTTTCGCTTGTGGAATTCTCTTCTAGCTTCTTGCTTTCCAATCAAATTTGATCTTCAAAAATTTAAATGCAGTATCAATCATTATCTTCTGCTTTTTAATGCCTGTTCTTTTATTGTTCTTACTCTTTAATAATGTTTTTCTTATATTCTTTCACACTCAGTAACCTCCTGTATTTTAGTGGTTTTGTTGCCTTGTTTGAGGTGAAATGATTAAAAAAAAAATATTCCAAAATAGCTTTCAGCATGTTGCTTCTTGATTTGTACCCACAATTCATTTCTGTTTTTATAATAATATATTTTCGGCCTCTTTTTGATGACAAAGGACTGTCAATGTTTTCCTCCTTACATGGCTCTTCTCAAAATGACAATCACTCAGCCCTTTGAAACCAATCTCCTTGCAAGTACACAGTGGTTAAAAGACTAAACCAGTAACAGTAGTTTGATCCATGTCATTAAGATAAAAAACAATATCAGTCACTAAAGATTTTTTTTTAATCATTTTACCCAGGAAAGAGGACAATAAAAGATCAAAAATTAAGAAGACAGAAAATAATGACTGACATTGTATTTAAATTTTTGAAGGTCAAAGTTGACTGGAAATTAAGAAGCTGGAAGAGAGTTCCACAAACAAGAAGTACGAGAGAAGAAACTGTTAGGATAGAAGGTAGGGTTACACATTGCAATTTCCACAATAAAATGAACAAGTTGCCAATCTAGTACTGCTGTGGTGCTATGGACAACCCACATAGAAAAGGAAGATGTGTTTTTATCTTGAGTGTTTCTGTATATTTTTTTAATCCTTTCACTCCAAGCAAGGCAATAAAGACACTAAGATTACTGAGTGTGAAAGAATATGAGAAAAAGAAAACATTATTAAAGAGAGAGAACAATAAAGGAACAGGAATTTGGAAGACAGAAGGTAACAATTGGTATTGCATTTAAATTATTTGAAGATCAAAGTTGACTAAAAAGCATGGAGTTGTAAAATAGTGCAAGACAAGAAACTGTTAGTATAAAACTTATTTCAATTGTAAAATGATGAGACCTAGCTGCCAATATAGTACTGAACTTACATTCATAAAGTCTAGGTATCAGCAGGGAAAACTCATCAGAACAATTACCATGAAAATATTTATAGAAAAGGCACAGGGAAGTTACATTACAATAGTGGGAAAGTGACTGAAGCCAAGATAAAAGTTAGTTTAAGATAATACTCATTAATCAGTAGGCAATGGAAAACTGCTATGATAAACCTTGACATACAAAGCTAGGCTGTTGGTAACAAACTCAAAAATATTCATTAAATGCATATCCAAAATTAAACTTCCAGTAACATTTGATAATAACTAGAAGTATTCATGAAAATTTAATGGCTTTCCTATTTGAATTTTTCTGATGAATTTTAATGATTAAATAAGCTTCTTGCAAGTCCCACAACTACAGAAACCCATGGAAATTCCTCTGTTGCATCGTTAAATATTTGAGCTTAACAACTTTA